GCTTCCCAGTCTTCCTTAATATGTTGGGTTTCTTCTCATTCTGAGGAAATGAGAGTCTGTAATGGTGATTCGTCAGTGCATCAGAGCTCTTCTTTTGTGTTTCCTGTATAGGTACCATACTGTACTCCAACCTTCTAGGCACATAGCCCAGAAACCTCAACTGTTGGATCTTTCCCTCACTTTCCCTTGAATACCTTACGGCCAAATCATGGTGTTCTGTGTATATCATCTCTTATATGTGCCTTCCCTTCCATTCCATAATCTCCTGCATCATTCAGGCCCACTATCTCTTCTACTGTTCTGATAGCCTCTTAAATGGTCTCCCTACCTCTAATGGTTCTCCAAGTATTTGGCTTTCTGATGTTCAAATGTATGTGAACTAGGAGAGTAAGAATGTAGGAATAGCTAGCAATTCCCACTAGGTAAACTGTTTTTCAAATAGATTTTAAACTTTTTAAAGATTTTGTTTATTTATTTCAAGGGGAAGTGGGGCAAAATGGAAGAGGGAATCTGAGGCAGACTCCATGCTAAGTGTGGAGTCTGACATGGGGCTCAGTCCCACGACCCAAGATCATGACTGAGCCGAAATCAAGAGTCAGACACTCAACTGACTGAGCCACCCACACACCCTTCAAATAGATTTTTTAAAAAATATATATGATTTCTAAAGAAATATTAGACTGAGGTAGTAGACTCAGTTTGCATGCACTCCTGTCTCTCTTATCTTTCATGGGTTCCTAGAGATAGAGGTTCTCCTGCTTGTGACAAGAGGCTTCGCTTCAGAATATTACCCTAGTATGCAGGGGTTTAAAGGGGTTACTGTGTTTTGGAAATTTAGGATTTTAACACATATTCTTTTCCAACTCGAAAGTCAATGCATATTAACTTAGACCAGAGCAGTAGAATTGCTTGGATGTAGAACCAGTAATTTTCGTCTTCAGTAGGAAGGTTGGGGATCTCATGAGAGGATTCGCATCGGGTGTCCAGAGACTGTTCACTAGCTGCAAAACCTTGAGAAAGGTGCTTAATTTCCTTATGCTTCAGTTTCTTCAACTGAAATTTGGGGTAATAATGTCTGTGGGGTTTAAATAAATTATATAATGCGTTTAAAGCACTGCCTGGCAATAAAATATGTTTGACTATTATTATTTCCGTCATTATTATAACCTCTGTTATGTGCTTTCATAATGCTTGGTATTTTTCCTTGAAAGCATTTATCACAGTTTGAAGTTGTATGCTTGCATAGTAATTTAGGTGAATGCCTTTCTGTATCATTAGACGAAGATCCCTGAGGGTGGTGCCTCTGTTAGTTTTGTTCATTATTGGATCCTTGACACCTAGAATATACTAGACACTGAATGAATGTTTGTTGAATGAACGAATGAACTTAGAAGAGATTACTTTAGCCTAAAATATTTCTAAAATAGGTGTAATTAAAATCCTTTTCTGGACTGGGGAGATAGTTCATCTGGCCCATTAGTGATGAATAATTACATGACTCAAAGCCTGCCAGCATGGGTAAACTACAAACTAAATGAATGGTGTGATTATACAGATAATGGGATTGATATTGTGTGACTTGCGGAAATCAAATGCTTTGTGTCATAGTTATAATGTGTATCTCTAATTGCAGAGATATTCAGTGTTTTTTAAATATAACTACATGAGAGTGACTTTTTAAATACTGCTGCATGCTTACCATATAAACCGTTTGGTTTGGAGTAATTGATGTCAAACTACTTTTCCTTTTTTCAGAAAGGAGGCAATAAATCTGTTTATTGAGGATGTACTCAGCCAAAAAGAATTAAAAATATGTAGTCGGCATAAAGAAAGCTATTTGTTCCTTTTGACATAGCAAGGATATATGCATTCACTTTTTCTGATAATTCGGCTAAGCAGTTTAAAGACTTAGAAGGAGGGTTTGGTTGCTAACACACAGTGTTTTTGACATTTAAAATTGGAATCACATTTTTTGTGAGATTATTCCTTTTTTGGTTTTTAGCAATAATGGGTTGACCTATGGAAGCCTTTGAATTAATAGACGGAAGCTGCTTGTGAGCCCAGTGCAGCCATATCACATACTTGTGTACATTTAGAGGATGTTTTTGAAGCAGGGAAGAGGAAAAATGGGAGTAAGAAGACTAGATAAGGGACTTTCATCTTGGTTTCAGTGAGAGATGTTGGGAGAGGAACACAGGAGTGGATCTGACATGTGTTCAGGAGTTAATATCAGTGGGAACAAGTGAATGAGAGTGTAGAAGAAGCAATTAGTAGTGTCTAGCTCAGGTGAGTATCTGGATAGTTGTGTGACAAACTTAAGTAGAGACCCAGACTTGGAGGAAATAAGAGGGTTTCATTTTGGACTTGATGAGTTGGAAGTACCTTTTATAAATTCCAGGTGAAGGTGTCCAGTAGCAATTGGAGCCATGAGTATGAAGTCTGGGGATGGTGATCTAAGCTGGAGATGTATTTTGGGGAATCAGCTGCAAGAAATGGATGTCACTGAAAACTGAATGTGGATGGGATCCCCCAAAGAGAATCTGGGGAGAGAAAAGAGCAGGGAATCCCTGGAAGGAAAGGCAGAGGAGGAGGGAGCACCCTTGAAAAGGGAGACTGGAAGGAGGAATCAGAGAAGTAGATAAGACAGTGTGGAAGAAATGAGTGTACAATGTCATTGACACTGTTTCAATAAAATAATAGGGGAAGAAGGCAGATGAGATGTTCGAGATAAAAAGTCAGAGAGAGAAGGGGAGGCGACTAACATCAGCTACTCTTTAGAAAAGTTTTAATGCCATGGGGAAGAGAGAGGGTGGATAGCCGCTTAGAGGGTTACATGCCATGAAGAGATGTCTGGAGTTTTGTTCTTTTTGTGTTTTGAGATTTGGAAAAACTTAATCACTCTTATAGTTGGAAGGAAGGATCCAGGAACAGAATTTGAATATGCAGTCGAGAAAGAGAGAGAAGCAGATACATCAGGTTCCCAGAGGTGAGGGGGAAGAATGGGGTTGACCCCGAGGTGGAGGAGTTATAAACAGAAGGATGGCAACTTATTTTTATTGTGGAATCATGAATGCCTCTTTTTTCTTTCATCTCAGAGGTACTCATGAGAGTCCCAAAGGGTATTGTGCTTGGTCTTCTTTAGGAAAAATCATTTTCCCAGCAGGTTGAATTTTCAGAAGGGACCAGAGAGTGAGAAATGTTAAATATAAAGGTGTTTGGGGGATTAAAAGATCCCCCTCCCCCAAGAAATCATGGACAAGGTGAATATGGGATCAATAAGAGAAATTAATGCTTCATAAATCAGGCATATCTCCTTCTGCATTAAGTCTGTTACAATATCATCCATCACATGATAAACTCGAGAAATAAGAGTGAAAAAGGCAGATGACGGTGATCATGAAAATGGTTTTGACTTTGTTATCCACTGACAAAAGTGGTGTGAGAACCACTGTTCTTGAGGAAGCAGAAATTTTTGGTTACATACACACATAAGGTATTACTCTACCCCCATCTGCTTTTTGGAAGTAGATGTTCCTGAGTATTTTCACCATTATTATTCACTGGCTTTGTCTTATACTCTAAAGTGTTGTGATCCATTTACAGATCAATGAAAGTAAGTCTAAGGCAGAATATGTCGTCTTCTGTCACTTTTTACCCTTCCCAGTCTAATGAAGTGTTAAGTCAGGTAGACCTTACTCCCTCTGCTTTTCTTCATGACGTCTCACTTTGTTGGTAAACTGTAAGCACACACATGCATATGTATGTTTGTATGTATGTATATTGACTGGACTCTGCAGAGAGGGGAGTAAGAACACCATTGGGGCCCTTTATATCCTGAAAAACAGTAAAGGGAAAGAAAACCACAGTGTTGTCTGGAGTCTGGACTCTATCAAAATGGAAAAGCGTGGACACTGATGACTGGCTCCTGGAGGCCTGCCTAGAATGAGAAAGAAGAATTATCTCTAGAAATATCAACACTTGGAGATTTATCTCCACTTAGGAAATGCATGAGACTAAAAATAGTCTCTTGAGTCTCTCTACCTTTAATTCGTCAGGCACACACACACCATTTGTCTTCCTTCTCTCCTTTCTCATTCGGCTCCATCAATACCAGCCTCATCTGATTCCAAACAAAGAGTGACGTGTCTGTGTCCAGTGAGAACCGAGTCTTTGTTTCCATTGAGAGATCTGTAGAATCTCACCATTCTCACTGCCACCACCAGGGTCTGTCATTCCTGTTTAAACAGCCTGTTGGTCTTTTGACTTGAGCTCTCCTTTTTCCACTCCATCCTGCATATCCATGCCTGGCTGATTTCTCCCAAACACAGCTATTATCAGAATTACTATTGTCTTTGCTTAAAAATTTTCAGTGATGTCTTAATTTGTGTCATGGTACAGATCTGCTTTATCTCTAGTCTCCTTCCCCTTTTCCATGATCCCTTAATCTGAAATATTCTGCAATAGTTAGTTCTTGCTGTTTCCTTACCATCCTGTAAACAGAGGCTACACATTTCTTCTGTGCTTGCTTCCCTGTCACCTGGAATGTCTTTTTTTCCCCCTTCCATCCAAACCCAACTGAATCTTCAAATCCAATCTCTGTAAATGGTTTTTACCTGTCTAATTTGTCTTTCTTGATTTCCCTCTTCTCTGAAATATAGTAGTATGCAAAGTTCATACCACACAAAAACGGTATGTGATTATGTATCATTATTTATTTTGTTTCAGTTGTATTAATTTTTTTTTCTTCAAATGGGTTGTAAGTTTCTTGAGAACTTATTTAGAATTTCATCCTGGTAAAGACCAGATTCCCTGAGCAAGGCCACTGTCAGTTGTTTTTCCAAAATCATTGTCTAAACTATCTTTGTGCTGGTTAAGCTGGGTCAGTCTTATGTCTGGGCAGGAGTTCAAGTCTGATAATATCTAGCATAATGTTATTTCCAAGTACAGTACAGTGTAATAGTACCTGTACTTATTCTACATTTGTAAACTTTATCTTATAGCGATTTCTACATTTGAAGTTCAGCCGATTTCTACTGAGGTCCAAGAAGGTGGAGTTGCTAGATTTGCATGCAAGATTTCCTCAAACCCTCCTGCAGTCATCACATGGGAGTTAAATCGGACAACTCTGCCTGTAACTATGGACAGGTAAGTGCAGCTTTTTGTCATTGGAGATGATGCAGGAGTAATGAAGGTTTCGTGAGACTTACAGGGGTAAAACCATTATGGAGCTTATTTTCATTTACAGTAATAATTACCAACCTCTTTAAGACATTTCAAACTTAGGGAAACAATTAGATCATCAGTCCTTGGTACATGGGGAATAATTTCTGAGTTTTGGTTTAGATCATAATTCAAATAACCTATCTTACTGCTTTGTTGCTTTCCTCAAACAACTTTTCCAATCATAGGACCACATGAGCACCTGATCCAAGGATTTAGGAAACCAAATTAGACCTCCACTGTGGCAATAGCACTCCTACTTTGGGGGTCTCCCATATGCCCTGGTAGCTGCCCATTCTGTCTCCACCTCCCACTTCCGGTCTCCTCTGGCCCCACCCCACACACCCCCAGTGATCTGCAGGTTGAGGTTTAAGGATCAAGAACTTAATAGCAACTTCATAAAGTCTGATTTCTGTCCTCATGAATAGCAGTATTCCAAAGTAGGTAAAAATCATTTGCTAAAATGGTAGGATGCTGAGATGGAAAATGTTATTCAAAAAAAGCTTTTTTTAAAATACTTAGATTCAGGTGCATCTTGGAGAATACATCCATTTTAATAGGCAAGACATCAGGATTTGAAAAAAATCATACTAAGCTCTAGGCCACCAGTTATATAAGCTATAATGTCAAATGTAACTTGTATAAAATCAGACTGGTAGATTTCACAAACCACATACTGTGTAGTTATGCATGTTTCAGAGAGCTGTAGTGACCCAAATGAGAACAGTTGAGTCAAGCTAATATTTTAAATGGTCTTTAAAGTATTGCATTATCTGGCACTTTAAAAAAAGGTTGAATGTATTAATCATAGAATACATGTTAAAATATAAAATCTCACTTCAAAGAATTTAATCCCCTTTCTTCTTGTAACAGGATAACTGCCTTACCAACAGGAGTACTGCAGATCTATGATGTTGGCCAAAAGGATGCTGGAAATTATCGTTGTGCTGCTGCTACTGTAGCCCACAGACGTAAAAGTATGGAAGCCTCTCTGACAGTGATTCCAGGTACCACGCGAAAGTGACTTCAGCTTTTATTGGCCCAACTATTTTTCTTTTGTGGCTGTAATAGTATGCCATAAAATAGTACTGTAATTTCACCTAGATTATTGTTATCTAGTTGGAAATGGTCATTTTTATCCTTATTAGGCACCTCTTCTTTCATAGGCTAGCTTGTTTTAAGTTACGTCAACATCTTTAAGAAAGAATGAATATTTGTTTTGTAAAAATATAAAATGTGAAAAGAGAAAAACAATTATCCATTTCCACCAAAACTATCCATTGTCAATAAAGATGTATTTCTAGTTTGGTATTTTTTTTTGCTTGTTTTAAGAAAAATTATAATTTGCATTTATAAAAATGATACATGGTTATTATAAAGATTATATAATATATAATATCTAAGATCTATATATTATGTGTAATATATAAATATAGACATATATATAATATAGGCATATTATATGTCTATAAAAAATAGAAGGAAAAACCTTTACATTAAACAATGTAAAAATATACAGACAGAAGTTTAAAAATATCTCCACCTCCAATACCCAGAAATTATCATTGTCAACTTTAAGTAAACATAATTTCTATATTTTGCCATATGTGAATATAGTTAGAAGGGAAACTAGCAAAAGAGATGAAGATGCAGAAAGAAATATGTGTCTTATTAAAGTGGAATTACACATAGATACTAGTTTTTATTTTTAAGTAATGTAAATTTACTTGAATATAGTGAAAGAAAATCTGGACTGAAGACATTGTTGAACTTCATAAGAATGTTTGTTTTTCACAAGTTTCCTAAAAGTTCCTTGGAGGCTAAAAAAATCTCTTTGGAAAACATTGAGAAACTGAAATTGTATTTTTTTTAAATTTATTTATTTATTTGACAGACAGAGATCACAAGTAGGCAGAGAGGCAGGCAGAGAGAGAGAGGAGGAAGCAGGCTCCCTGCAAAGCAGAAAGCCTGATGTGGGGCTCGATCCCAGGACCCTGGGATCATGACCTGAACCGAAGGCAGAGGCTTTAACCCACTGAGCCACCCAGGTGCCCCTGAAATTGTATTTTTAACGCTATGTTTTAACACAGGTAGTATCTGTTAGCTTTCTGGTATGAAAGATTCAAGACAAAAGCACTCCCAACACTTCTTCTCTTCTCCCCACTGTCACATAAATTCTTAACAAGATTAGTGAAAGGATTAAATGAATGTTTGAGGCTCAATTAAAAGTGAATGATATGGAAACAACTAAATGTCCATCAACTGAAGAATGGATAAATAAAGTGTGTTCTATCCATATAATTAAATTCTATTCTGTTATTATTACTCAGTAAAAAGAAATGAAATATTGGTAGACGTTACAACACAGATGAATCTTGAAAACATTTGCTAAGTGAAAAGGAGCCAGTACAAAAAAGACCATAAAATATATGGTCCCTTTCTTACGAAATGTCTAGAACAGGCAAATCTGGAGAGACAGAAAGATTAGTGGTTGCCAGGCTGGGGAGAGGAGATTGCTAATAGGTGTGGTGTTTCTTTGTTTTTGGAGTTCTAAAATTGATTGTGGTAATAGTTGCACAACTTTGAAAATACTAAAAATCATTAAAATATCATCAAAATGGTGACTAGCTTATTATGTGAGTTATATCTCACTAAAATCATTTCTTAAGTGAATAACTTAAGGATATTTTAACTTGTTTCACTTATTATATCTTATTTGTAATTTGTTCTCATATTGTGCCTTTTCCTCCTCAAAGCTAAGGAGTCTAATTCCTTCTACACACCAACCATTATAGCAGGCCCACAGAACATAACAACGTCTCTTCATCAGACGGTTGTTTTGGAATGCGTGGCCACAGGAAATCCCAAACCAATCATTTCTTGGAGCCGCCTTGGTAAGTTTTCTCAGGGAAATAAGTCTTTAAACTTTGTTCATTCTAAAGAAACTGATAAAATGTTTATTTTATATGCAAAACACATGTTTGTCATTTAAGTAGCTTTTAACTTAATGGCATTTCAGTGTGTAGAGAAAAGGTTTTTGTGTAGCAAATTTTATACTTTTTTATGGTATGATTAGATAGTGATCTTTTGACATAATTTTAGATCTTATGTTACATTATTTTCACTGAAGTATTCTCTTGGAAATAGATCACAAGTCCATTGATGTCTTTAATACTCGGGTACTTGGAAATGGTAATCTCATGATATCTGATGTCAAGCTGCAACACGCTGGAGTATATGTTTGTCGGGCCACAACCCCAGGCACACGCAACTTTACAGTTGCCATGGCAACCTTAACTGTCTTAGGTATGTTTTATTTCATTCTGCATTCAGGAGAATCTTGTATTTTAACATTTGTTGTTTTATCTCATTCATTGCTTACTTATGCCTTTCTTGAGTTTTGTAGCATTGATATGAAAGTTGATATGAAATACCGTAATCCAACAATGAATTTTAGGAGAAAATTAAAGTCCTGGGTTAAAATGTAATTATCATGCCTCCTGTTTTCCTGCATACCATTATGTTCCTTCTTATTTAAGCATCCCTTTTATGTCTTTGTTTACCCACCAGCAAATCCACATATCCATTTACCAATCTAAAATTTTATTCTGTTGGTTGTGGGCACTCACAAGTGACTGTATATTATTGGGCTTAGTTAAGGTGGACTATAGTGTACGTATTTTTAGCGTGTTGACACAGAGGTTTTTAATAGGAAAAACCTCGGGGGAGTGAACATCTAAATGAGCAATGCTGAGAAAAGGCATCTGGATAGATATATGTAGAGCATAGATAAGAGGCTCCGACTGTTAAATATTTTCAAGGATGGGACTTGAGTCATTTGCCAGACTCTTCCTTGACTATTTGTATCATTCCTGTTTTGGGGACATGGAAATTTTTTTCTTTTCTTGTTTCTTTAAAAATAGCTCCACCTTCATTTGTTGAATGGCCAGAAAGTTTAACAAGGCCTCGAGCTGGCACGGCTCGATTTGTATGTCAAGCAGAAGGAATCCCCTCACCCAAAATGTCATGGTTGAAAAACGGGAGGAAGATACATTCAAATGGGAGAATTAAAATGTACAACAGGTGGGCTATGCTATTGTGCTACTCTTTTAGAGAACATATAATGGCTTTCATAATTGTTATGTGAACTGGTTGTAATACCAAATATCAAAATTATCTTGGTATTTTAAACTAAAATAAAAGAGAAGTAACATCAGCACGCCATAGATTCTTCTGTGTTTTATATGGATCATAGAAGTGGTAGATTATAATGAAATAAATGAGGGACAGTCCCCTAGACTTGGATACTTGTCCTGATAAGCTAATAGCTAAGTTACTAGCAAGCATATTATGCCTTTGTGGTCTCAGTTCCTTCTTCCTTTATGAATAAAAAGAGAAACTAAGAAGGAAATATTCAAATCTCAAGGAATTTTTCCACAGCTCAAACTTAATGATTTTAAGAACTCCTTTTTATTAGTATAAATATGAATCTTCTTGTAACATTGCCATATGTTTAACAAAACTTTAAAATTTTTGTTTATCTGAATTTATGTAATGTTGCAAAGTTACATAAATTAGATGCTATTACAGAGTAATATACTTTCTTATAAAAGCCAAATTTTAAAAAAGGGATTAGTCACTCACCCAAAGCAAACAGGATTTGGATATCACTATTACTTAATTAAACTCAGAAAATAAGTAATTTTAAGCAACTCAGATTTTTCAGTAGGTTGACTACACAGTTTTTTGTTCTTAGTATAAACTTTTGCCACTTAAAATGAGAGTGAATTTAACAATAGTTTAAATGTATTTTTACATCATTCTTAGCGTTTTTCATAGAAGTATTTTTTTCTTTCTTCAGTAAATTGGTAATTAACCAGATTATTCCTGAAGACGATGCCATTTATCAGTGCATGGCTGAGAACAGCCAAGGATCTATTTTATCTAGAGCCAGACTGACCGTAGTAATGTCAGAAGACAGACCCAGCGCTCCATACAATGTGCATGCTGAAACCATGTCCAGTTCAGCGATCCTTTTGGCTTGGGAGAGGCCACTTTATAATTCAGACAAAGTCATCGCTTACTCTGTGCACTACATGAAAGCAGAAGGTAAGCAATTTGAGGAGTATTTATTTTCAACTGCTACTTCTTGTCAGTAATTTCAGTATGAGTGACATCTTACAGAATCCAGAAAAAAAAATTTTTTCTGGATGTCAGTTCTATAGTATTTATCTCTTTTAGTAAAATAACCTATCACCCACATATCAATTTTTGCTAAATGTTCTTATCATCGTATACCTTGTATATATATGTATAGTTTAAGATTTTTATGTTTAGAAATAAGTACCATCTCTGCCTGCTGAAAATGACAGAGTGGTGAAGTGATGAATTTCATTCCAGCCAAGATATAAATTCTTTAGCAATTGAAGTATGCAGTTACATAGGAACACTGGTGTAACTGGTTCAGAAAATAATACGGTAAATTATGGTCACTATAACATGTTATTTTTAAGGAGGGGGAAGTACACATTATCAGATCCCCATAAGTTGATGTTACATGTTTTGAATGCTTCCTGAAACCATTTAGAACCTTGAATATTGAACAGGACTGTCTTTATTGATATGTCATTTCTTATATAAAACTAGAAAATCAGATCTGCCTTAAAATTTTTATTCAGAACTATTAATTCCATTTTTTTGCAATCTTTTTTACCCTAGTATTTTCTTTTGGCAAAAAAAAAAAAAAATTGGAAAAGGAAAGCTATTTAGAAATCCTAGAGATTTCTCTACTGATCTCTCATAGAAACCACAGAATTTACAAGTTTTAATTGTGCACACAGTCCAGATTTTATGCAGTAGACATTAAAACAAACCCCAGCACCCAAAAATGATGGTATGATAAAGTTGTTCATAGAAACAGGTGGTTTGTTGTTGTTTGTTTTTTGTACTTTGAAGTAGTATTTGAAAAGGAATATTTTGAATTTAAATCAGGAGTTATGTTAGCAAGAAGAATGAAAGTCTAACTGAGCCTGTTGGAGTATGTTAATTCCCTTCTTAGTGATTTAGGAAGGTAAAAAGGAATGCTGGTTTTGGTGGAGACCACTCTTGTTCGCTATTATGGTTGTTTCATTAGAGCCTCCACATGTGGCTCAGTGGTCTATTCAAGGACAGAACAAGGCTTTTTAATTCGAACTCAAGGACCTTGTTTGGTAGGTCAGAAATCGTACTATGCAGTTCCTAATTAACGAGCCATTAGCCAGTCTGTTGTGAAATGGCTGTAATCTTGTCTAATTAAAATGCTATCAAGTTAATTCAGAAATGTGGGAAAACTTAATAGTGGAATTTGCCTTCTGTTTTGTTTATAAATCCAGTGTGGGGGAGAAGGGCCTTCGTCTTAGAGCATTTTGATGAAGTTGACGTGCATTTACCGTGAATTGTTCTCAAGGCACAGGAGCTGCCTTTGCACTTTACAGATTTGCGCCATAGGAATTAAATCCCACAAAGACAAATTCTTTTCTGTACCTTGCCATGCATATTTTATAAAGAATTGCTGAGAATTTTTTTTTTCCCCTCTTTGGGGGGAAAAAAAAGTTCGTTGTGGAACAAAGTGTTTTGAAGCACATTCCGTGCCTCCCAGTTCTTTTGCTTTCAGTATAAATAAAAAGAACAGCTTGTGTCAGTCAAATTTAATAGAATCTCTAGGGCCAAAATGAGATCTTTTGCAGGACGACTTTTGGTTTGGTTTGTTTTTATAAAGCGTGGAGCCATTACATTCCCTACTGTCTCTGCATTTACGTATAAAAGAAAAAGGAAGGCATGAGTTAAAGCAAGAAAAACTTAACACCTTTTGCAGGACAACTGTTGGTTTGGTTTGTTTTTATAAAGTGCAGAGCCATTACATTCCCTACTGTCTCTCCATTTATATATAAAAGAAAAAAAAAAGGCAGAGTGTAAGCAAGTAAAACTTAACACTGTTACAAACTACAGAATTCTGTAACTTTAAGCTCTTCTGTGTTAGTTCTGTACATTGTCTCTGCTATGGGTTTTGACTGGATTTTAAAACAAATTCAGAAGAGATTAATTATTTTCAGTTTCATTTATTAGGGAAGAGTTCAAACTAATTTGTAGCAAGACAGTTACTTTTAAGAAATCACTTTTATTTTTAAAGGTCACAAAAGTCAGCAGAGATTAGATCAGAGAATCAGTGTTTCACAGTAAGGGAAATTGGTCTTACTCACTTTATTGTTTGAATATTCCTAATTTTTAAACACTGATACTTTAATCTAGGTTTAAATAACGAAGAGTATCAAGTAGTCATCGGAAATGACACAACTCATTATATTATTGATGACTTAGAACCTGCTAGCAATTATACTTTCTACATTGTGGCATATATGCCAATGGGAGCCAGCCAGATGTCTGACCATGTGACCCAGAATACTTTAGAGGATGGTAAGAAAACAGTCTGTGTCATTTAAGTATGAAATCAATATGTTTAATCCATTTCAATGAATAAATGTGTTTTAAATTAGAGAAAATATCTTCTTTTTGGTTTAAAAAAAAAAAAAAAACAGGTGTGGTTACCAGCAGGGTAGTTTGCCATTTCAAATTTGACCCTCATTTTTTGACAGTAACATGATATAGGTAAAGAGTTTTTATAACTGATAATGTGTAACATAAATTTTAATAGTAAAATTCTTGTATTATTGTATTTCTTCAATTTTCTTAGTTCAAATTGTAAGGACGACTTTTTAAAAAATATTTTCTTGACATTGCAGATTTTTTTTTAAGCAAGTGGAACAAAATGTGAAATTTTCTAAGCATGAGTAAATATGAGTGAATATATATATAATGAGAGGTCAGAGGTCTTGGACTTCTGGAACTGCGGGTTTTTGAAATTTAGTAAACTGTTGATTAAAAAATATTCTTAAAAAATCAGCAGTCTATTTTTAGGTATGTCTATTCTGCCTTATTAAGGAGGAAAATAATAGTTCAGTAACAGACTCTGGGTTGGAAGTTGCGTGTTTTTGAGAAGGCAGGCCTCCATATATTCCTATAATGGTAGGAGATCCCATTCCTTAGGAAAGTCCTGAGACTGATTCTCCTCCTGATTCATCACATCTCTCTCTCTCCAGGGGCTCTCCAGAAGGCCCATTTTTGTACCCTTCACTGGGAAAAGGGAATGATTTAACATACACTTAATTATACTGCTTTCCTCTGCAGATGTTTTCCATCCTCACAGAATGGTCCACTCAGTTTTGAAAATATTTTTTTGAAGATTTTTTTTTTTTAATTAGAACAAGAGAGAGAGAGAGAGCACGAGTGGAGGGAGGGGCAGAGGGAGAGGGAGAAGCAGACTCCCTGCTTAGCGAGGAGTCAGGGGGTTTGATCCCAGGACCCTGGGATCATGACTGAACTGAATGCAGATGCTTAACCGACTGAGCCACCCAGGGGCCCTTCAAAACATTTTTGGGTAGATGATTTTCATATCACTTTCTTTGTTCATTCGGCCCTGATCTCTTACTTATATCTCTATTATGCCCCTTACTTAGATGCTTATAAATTCAGAGTTTGATAAAATGAAAAAAAAATTACTGATCTGGATGCTCAGTTCCAAATTCAGTTTTTTTTTTTTTAATATTTTATTTATTTATTTGACAGACCGAGATCACAGGTAGGCAGAGAGAGAGGAGGAAGCAGGCTCCCCGCTGAGCAGAGAGCCCGATGCGGGGCTCGATCCCAGGACCCTGAGATCATGACCTGAGCTGAAGGCAGAGGCTTTAACCCACTGAGCCACCCAGGCGCCCCCCAAATTCAGTTTTCATTAAAGAGTCTATTCTGTTTTAGGGGTGCCTGGGTGGCTCAGTAGTTAAGTGTCTGCTGTTGGCTCAGGTCATGATCCCAGAGTCCTGTGACAGAGTCCCACATGGGGCTCCCTGCTCAGCAGGAAGCCAGCTTCTCCCTCTCCCTTTGCCATTCTCCCTGCTTGTGTGCGTGCTCTCTCTCTCTCAAATAAATAAAATCTTAAAAAAAAAAAAAGTTTGTTCCATTTTAGAGTGAATCACAGTATTTATGACCTCTCGAGTTCTCATCACATTTAACTTCTGACATGCGTATCTGAGGTGAAACTTGGGCCGGGGAGGTGTGCTCTTTTGGGGCATGTGGGGGTTTCTTGGTGTATGAGGTGTATTCCTCCCTATATCCTTGAAGAAGAGGAGTCTGACCATGGCAAGCCTCTTGTTAAAGCCTGCCAATGCCAGTTAAGTTATGACCTCAAGATTTTTTTCTTTTAAACCTTTTCTTACTTTGTAACTGTTTTACTTAATGAAGTTGCATTCTCTTTTCTGAATAACACGGACTTCTGACCCCGCTTTTCACATTTCTGCACCAGTTTCTCCCCAGTTCCTAACCCCATACTTCTCAGATGCAGGTGTGTGGGTGTCTCAGGGGCATAGCAGCCTGCAGTAAATACAAGTAACAGTTCTCTCCATTATCTCATGTGATCCCTACATAACGCAGGACAGAAGAACTTTGGTTATAGAAGACATAGTAAAGTATAGGGAGTAAGAATGTGGGCTTTTTCAATCTGCCTACCAATGCTCCTTCACTAACAACTTGTGTGACCCTGGGCAAGTGAATTGCCCTCTTTGTACCTCAGTTTCCTCAACTATAGAGTAGAAATGATCATGGTACTGCCTTTGGTTTTTGTGAGAATTCATGAGTTCATACACATCAAGGACTGAGAAATGCTTAATAAACGGACTTTCCCTTTTCTACCTATTAATTCATTCGCGCATGAGTTCATACACATCAACAACTCAGGAATGCTTAATAAATTGATTTTCTCTTTTCCACCTGTTAGTTCTTTCACACAACAAATATTCAATGAGTACCTGCTATCTGTTATTCAATATTTAGTAGTGAACAAAAGAGACAAAAATTGTCCCTGATTTCATGGACTTTACTTTCTAGTGGGAGAGGGGGCAGAGGAACAATAAACAAGATAAACAGTATTATCCATTACGTATTTATATGCTATCTGGGATATTGATAACTATCTAGGAGAAGGAGAAAAAAGCAGGGAAAGGGAGTATGAAATGTCGGGAGGATTTGAGACTTGAGACAGGGTCACCCAAGAAGGGCTAGGGCTCACTGAGTAGGTGACATTTGAATGAAAACCTGAAGGAAGTGAAGGTGGCGAGGCCCGTGACTGGGGGAGGTGCCTGCTCAGCAGAGGAAATTGACATTGCCAAGGGCTGGAGATTAAGGGAGCAAGTGGAAAGCAGTAGGAGATTAGGGCACAGAATTCATGAGGAGCCAACCCTGTAAGTACATAGGGCTTTGTATGAAGCCATGGGGAGGACTTGAGCTTTTACTTTTTTTTTTTTTTTTGAAAGATTTTATTTTTTTATTTATTTATTGCAGAGAAAGCAATGGGGAACAGCAGGCAGAGGGAGAGGGAGAAACAGGTTCCCTGCTGAGCAGGGAGCCCTAAGCTGGGCTTTTACTTTCAGTGACACTTCGCTTTCTTTGGTTCTCTATGCTGGATCCTTCCTAATTTTTTTCCTTCATTTTTTCTGGTTTGTGATCTCCTCACCTGAAAAACTCTGCTAAGGCTGATAGTATCTCCCCTTTATTATGTTGTGTGATGCTCTTAAGAGAATTCAGTAAATACTGGTGTGCTGATTGACAGTTTTGATTCTAAATATTCATAAGCATCCTGTTTTGTTGCATGACTAGTTCCACTGAGGCCTCCTGAAATCAGTTTGACGAGTCGAAGTCCCACTGATATCCTCATCTCCTGGCTGCCGATCCCGGCCAAGTACCGACGTGGTCAGGTGGTCCTCTACCGCCTATCCTTCCGCCTGAGTACTGAGAATTCTATCCAAGTTCTGGAGCTCCCGGGAACCACACACGAGTACCTTTTGGAGGGCCTGAAACCCGATAGTGTCTACCTGGTGCGGATTACTGCTGCCACCAGGGTGGGGCTGGGAGAGTCATCTGTGTGGACCTCACATAGGACACCCAAAGCTACAAGTGTGGAAGGTAAATCCCAAAATGCTATTGAGGAAGAGTACTTTTACTTTTTTGAAACTTACTTTTATAAAATCAAAGTTATGTTTAAATGGTATTTTATGAAAGAAAATATTCAGTAGATCATAGACTTCACTGAAAGTAACTTTCAACTTTTTGTTGCATAGTCCCTTTTGACATAGAGATCAGTAGTGTGTAAAACCTTTGGTTATGCTGTCAGCTTGCTCAGCAAATTCTTCGTAGATGGCTGAGTCCAGATCAAACTGAATTACCAAAAGTTGTATATTAATAGAGACTTAATTAATATTATTGCCATATATTGTTTTAAATCATCCATTTAATAGAAAGACCATAGACTAGGAAGTCCTAGACCCTCTTCTTTTAATGTGAAATGTAACATGACTGGGGTTTTTGTTGTTCATTGATTAATAATAATGCCTGTTCTACAGAGAGGAATAATGAATGGTCAAATTAGGAAGTCCTCATTGTCTCTTTGAAAAAAAAAAAATTCCAGTATAGATGGTACTGTGTTCCTATTTATATACCTTAGGGTTTTTTTAAGGTAGTATTTTATATTTTTAATTCTGTCTCAAAGTTTAATATCATTGTGGAATTTTGAAAATTAAAGTATGATTGCTTGGAATCGCACTTTTTTTGCAGCTGTTCATTTAAAACTGGGCGTATTTGTATGAGTTGTGGGTTTTTTAATGCATACATTTCTGTGGATTTTTCTAGCCCCTAAGTCGCCAGAGTTGCATTTGGAGCCTCTGAACTGCACCGCCATTTCTGTGAAGTGGCAGCAAGATGCGGAGGACACAGCAACCATTCAGGGCTACAAGCTGTACTACAAAGAAGAAGGGCAGCAGGAAAATGGACCCATATTCTTAGATACCAGTGACTTTCTCTACACTCTCAGTGGTTTAGGTGAGTGAGCCCGTACTGGGCTTTCATTTTTTCCTTCCTCTCTGACCAGCTGGGAAAAGAGTTTTTGGATATAAGGCAGAAGAACTGACTTACTGGTAAAAAGGGAATTGCCCTTATCAAATCACTATGTATCCTACTGCTTGAGTCCAGGCTGGCCTTTGACTCACCATCATAAGCAAACTTGTCAGTGGTCAGATAACCGTGTTATCTTTCCCCTACTTCTGGGCATCCACTTTTCTTTCTGCAGTTCACTTCTGGTAGAATGAGAACTGATCAATTATGGTGAGTATATGGTGTACATAAAATAGCAGTTATCACCAAATGAGCAGAAAATAGGTAACGATTAACTTAGAAATTGCCTGAGAGTGCTATGTAGGTGCATTGTTTTCACATATAAAATATATTTAAATTATGTACAAAATAATGCTCTTACATATGACCCATGTCACTGTACATATTTATTTTTGTAGCTGTAACACAGAAACACCAGAGAAAACGCATTCAGCCTTGTGTTTGGGTTTATCACAATTGTGAAAGACACCATTTTATTCTCTGTTCTTCTTATCATTGCTGAGTGAAGAATTTCATCATGTGACCATGTTTAATGGAAAGTAAGGAAACTTATGTCTACAATAAATACCTGGGTATAAACAGATAGATACTTAAGGTGTAAAATGCATACTCAGTTATTTCTTAGTTATTTGTTAAAGCAGCAACTTTACTTAGGATTCCCAACTAAATTCCTGCTGAATTGTTACAGCACCTTCTGCACAGAGTGGAATCTTACAGTGCTCTCCGGCTTTCCCCCTCGCAGACTACCCTTTGGAGTGCAGAAAGGGAAGAGGTGGGGGGACCCCACTAGGGAGAGCTCCATTTGCTTCTTTCAGGCTTGTGAAAACAGCAGGAGTCCTGAGACCCTGCACGTGAAAAGCAGTGGTGGGAGTCTGTTTTTAGAGGCAGGGACATGCGACCCCATCCTCTGGTTCTTTACTGTAGTTTTCCAGATGGCATTTTGCTTCTAATTTTATTGTCTTGGATGTTAATTTAATCTGCATTTGCTTAAATAAATTTCACTATTGATCCCTGTCACACAGTTTTATAAATGATGAGGAGAAGTTACATATGTTCCAGGCTGACCTTCCTTAAAACCACTGACTCAGAGGTGATATTAGCCCACCCTGTCACCAGAGTCAGGAGCATTTATTTCTAGCTGAGGTTTCTCAGTATGCTCTTACTTTCTATGTTCATATCCTTTATTCAAAAGAGTTGCACTAAGTTATCAAGTAAGAAACAGGATTTGGGACAATTGCTGATGAAAAATCATACATCAAACTCAGTATTTCCAATTCCTTCACTGTTAAGGAAATAAAAATAAGTAGAAGATACAAAAAATAAGTTCATGGAGCACTCTTCTTGAACACACATAGGTAGCTTGTTTTAAACAAATGAATAATGTATTGGGAAGAACAGAGTAATGCTCTGCTTGTGAAAAGTTTATAGAAACATCTTATTAAAACTTTGTCAAGGGGTGCTTGGTGGCTCAGTGGGTTAAAGCCTCTGCCTTCGGCTCAGATCATGATCCAGGGTCCTGGGATCAATCCTTGCATCGGGCTCTCTGCTCAGCAGGAAGCCTGCATCCCCCTCTCTCTCTGCCTACTTGTGATCTCTGTCTGTCAAATAAATAAATAAATAAATAAATAAATCTTAAAAAAAAAAACCACTTTGTCAATTAAAACAATGTTTTGGGGGTGCCTGGGTGGCTCAGTTGATTGGGCATCTGCCTTCAGCCCAGGTAATGATCCCACGGTCCTGGGATGGAGTCCCATATAGGGCTCCTTACTCAGCAGGGAGCCTGCTTCTCCCCCTCTTCCTTTGCTGCTGCCTCTGCTGTGCTCTCTCCCTCTTTCTGTCAAATAAATAAATGGAATCTTAAAAACAAAACAGTGCTTTAAAATTTAAACATTTTCTATAGGTGCACATAAATATAGAGAAGACCCATTGATCTTTGTTGAAATTTTTTATAATCTCTAGCTAACAGTTTTTAGTACTACGGACTTTTCTTTCCTCCTGTGTTTTAAAAATAAATCACATCTGTTACAGCCAGTATTTTTTATGTTATAAAATCCGTTGTGTATCCATGTGCTTTGGGTAATCCAGCTTAAAATCACTGTGTAATGCATATACTGGGAAATTATTTTGTTATAGTCAGTATGCCTCTCTGTTAAAATAACACCATGTTTCCTGACTGTGGAATTAGACTGAATAGTTGGGGTAATTGCAGTGCAGGGTAACAGCGGACTCCATCTCAGCCTTGGGACTTTCTTTGGATAGTGGATTCCACACCCCTGGAGGTCCCAAGCCAGGGCTGCAATGGGCTGACCAGCAGAGATGCAGTTGTATAGATCTAAGTATTGTATGGCTGTTGACTAGCTCACCTTTAAAATGCTTTTTAATCTTGAGAGCTGTAGGGTCTGTAGAGTCTTCTTTTTTAGAAAGACACCGTTGAGGCCTAGCCGAGCTTATACTAAGTTGGATGTGTGTAACCCACTGAGCAGGCAAGTGTTAAGAGCTCTCACTCCTTCCCGTCCTACTTTCAGCTCTGGGAGGGCAGTATGTTCTGTTAACTGGACAACTGACCATCTGTGACCATGTTTAGCAAGAGCATCTGGCGGTAGCTGCCTGTTTAACAGAGAGTGATGTGTGCCGAGGGCAGTAGGTTAAGGGAACCCTATCTGTGTCTTGCATGGTGAATACTTTCTTTCACAGAGCTTTTGTACATTAAAGATGCTCTAACTAGAACTAGATTCACTAAGTAGGCTTGGAAATGTAATTTAAATGCTTCTGTTTGCTAATTCAGTGTCAATTTCAGTAGCAAACTGATGTCTCAAAATTTCATTTTCATACTAATCCCTTCTCTGATGCCCTAATACACTACCTTTTGTTACTTCTGCTGATTAAGTTTTCAACTAAAAAGTATGTTATTGGGACACATTCTCCTTGGTAACATACAGTTCTTTGTTTCTAAAAGAAAGAAATGAATTTGTGTATTTCAATTCATTTAACAAGAATTAACAAATTATTTTTCTAAATAAGGCGTTGTGGTACTAAATGAAAAGATTTAACAGATGTGACCTCTGCTCAAAACAAGAAAAATTAAAACAAAAGACACTAACTTGATTTACTTTCCTCCCAAAGTTCTGATTAACTAAATTTAATTGTACTTAGTAATTAAAGTTGTTTGACAGCATTTTACACTAAACCCTCAATGCTCAGTTCAGAGATGTAGAATGTTTTGTTTTTAAAATGGCTGAAAAGATTATTTTGTCCTTATTAGTGTAATAGAAATAATGGTAGAGTAGTAGAGGTATTTTGATGTTGCTGGTTTGTTCTAGTTTAATGATTTTTAAATACACAGTTTGCTTTTAATTAGAAATGGTTTGGTGGTTGGGAAAAAAGCATTTGGCTTGTGATTAAATGTTTATGTGATTTGTTCTAAATTGTGGGTTTTTTTGAGGTTTTCTTTAAGATTTGCATCTTTGTTGTGATGGTTTTCATTCAGTTTTCCTCCCCTTAACACTTCTCATGTTTACCTTTTTAAGCAGAATTTTAAAACATTCATTAAGTTTATCACACAAAAAATAGAAGCAAGATTAATAGCATACTTGTATTGCCTAATAACAGATTGAAATAATTTGTTGATTTTTTAAAAAATTTATTTGACAGACAGAGATCACAAGTAGGCAGAGAGAGAGGAGGATGCAGGCTTCCTGCTGAGCAGAGAACCCAATGTGGGGCTCAATCCCCGGACCCTGGGATCATGAAAAAAAAAGCAGAGGCTTTAACCCACTGAGCCACCCAGGCACCCCAATAATTTGCTTTTTTGTCTGTTTATTTCAGAAATTGGCTTCAAATTCTGAAGTTAGTTTCTAATTGCAAAGAGAACTATTTTCATAAGCTGTCAGAAACGTCTTAATTTTTCAGTATTTATATAATAAAGGGGAAAGGGGAGATTATTTAGATGGTCCTGTTGTTAGTTTAGTGTTTGGGACACTGATAATTTTTAGCTTCTATTTTGCGAAGAATGTGTACTATTAACATTTCACAGCAAGCTTGATTAGTGAGCATGAGATTCAGTACCAATTACAAAGATCCAAAATATTTAAAGTCAGTAATGTTCCTGGATTCCTTGCACACCTTCAAAACTTACCGATCTAGGGTGCCTGGGTGGCTCAGTGGGTTAAAGCCTCTGCTTTCGGCTCAGGTCATGATCCCAGGGTGCTGGGATCGAGCCCTGCATCGGGCTCTCTGCTCAGCAGGGAGCCTGCTTCTTCCTCTCTCTCTGCCTGCCTCTCTGCCTACTTGTGATCTCTGTCTGTCAAATAAATAAATAAAATCTTTAAAACAAAACAAAACAAAACTTACCGATCTTTTTTTGAGAAATCCAAAATGGAATTCTCCTAACTGGGGAGAATAGGAGGCCCAAAAAACCCCCAAAACAAAAACAAAACAATCCCTGAGTGACAAGTAGTTTTAGAGTCCCTTAGCCAGTTTGTATGGAAACATGGTAAAATTAAGTCAGATTTCTGGGTGTTATCCTTTACCATAACAGAATAGGATTCGGTTGATCTGAGCAAAGAAAATCAAGAGGTACCACTGGTGAGCCAAACCCATGTAGCTGGAGGGAGTTGTAATCTTTCCTTTAGTCAAGACAGGACAAGATTTTGTGGCATAAAAGAGACTACTTTTATCAGAGAGGGTTCATTGTGAACCTCACTATAATAGTGATTTTGTTTTGAAGAGAACTAGCATCACTCAGTTTATGAAATATGGAAGTCACGTTTTAAAGCAGGCCAAAGTCTTTTCAGAGACTGTGTTCCCTCCTTCCTCTCACACAAGGAAGCCTTAGAGAACACTCAGAAAAATCTTTGGAAACATGCTACAGGTGAAAATCCTTGTATTGTGGCTGTTTTGCAATTTTCTTGCTGCACCCCTTAAGACAG